CAACATTACATTTAAATTGATGTGATGTTGGATTATACGAAATGCATTCTGCCATTCCCCCCTAGTGGATGCTTTGGACCAAAATATCTACACCATCAGATTAGAGGGGAATTTAAATAAAGGGGTATATAATTTGGGGGAGCATAGGAGACTTGATAAGCACCATCAGTATAGCAGGTGACGTTTGTAGCTTTGGTGAGCCCTGTATTTCCCCCACATGGTGTTCACAACAGTTGCTGGCAGAATTTGTAACTTCTACAAAGCCTCAAATGCTGTTTTCATCAGGAGAGCAGTGGAAATTGTCAACTCCACCTGCCTAGCAGGTAATATTACAATCCCCATTGAGGACTTGATGGAGGCCCATCATTAGGGAAAACTGATGTTGAGTAGCTATAAAGTTTGGAAACCAAGGTTTGTGATGAAATAGGCATTTCTTTATACGTTGATCACAATAATGTGTTTAATATGTGAGCAGGGTGAGCTTCTTCTTCTTTGTTTCTAGGTGCTTGGGATTTGTAAATGAAGTACAGTCATCACTTACCAAAATTAACTGGGCTTTTACATGAAGTTGTGTGTTTTTAGACAGAAGGCCAGATTTTCAAGCACTTGGCTTCCACAATGGGGTGGGGGGGAGGAAGGGGAGGGGAAGAGAGAGAAGAAGAGAGAGAAAAACAACAACAAAACCCTCAGCCACCAACATGCTCTTTTGAAAACCTGGCCCCATGTTGACTATTCTACTCCATTTCCCCCTCCAAATGGACATTGCTCTACAGATATTATGTTACACATATATTAAGCTACAGTATGTAGACAAAGATTTTTCCCCAATGAAAGTAAATTTGGGGAAAATCCTCAGAATAAAAACAAAACAAAATCTCCTGGCTAGTCCAATTAACTTCATATTTTTGGCAAAAAGGCCTTTGGCCTGAACCTAAAGGGGAGATATTTAAGGACAAAAGGTACTTTTGTGGGAAAATTAAAAAGGGGTCTGAACTGGACTCCGAACGGAAATGTTCTCTAACTTCAACTACGCAGCCACTGAGAAATAAGCATTCGCACGTTCCATCCATAAAGCTCCAAGGTGGGAATTTTCCTATTTTATAGTTGGGGAACCAAGGCACAGAGAGAGTAATGTGACTTTCCCCAAGGACACATAAGGCACAGGCAGAGCAAAGAATACCCCTGCACAAGAGCTATTGGCAGATGCTGCCTTCTGCAACAGTCTAACATTAGACAATGAACATCTCTAGTTAGCACAAGTTGTGGAACTTTGCACTTCTGAAAAAGACTTCAGAGACTTAACTCTTCAGCTCTGCTTTTATTTCTGCACAATAAATCTTAGCTATCAGTCTGACCTAGTAGTGGCTCCTTATCCCATTAATAATCTCCTTGGCTATCTAGCATCAAGTAATTTTTTTTTAAAGTTTTATTATGTGAATAACCTATACAATCTCTTATGCTGTAGTAATTAAGCCATTTCCTTCTGTACAGATGTTAATTAAACTGATGAGTTGATGGCTTGACAGGCTGAAAGTTGTAGTAGTGCATACTGTATTTGACCCAGTAACTCACTGCAAAGTGTTACTGGCCGTGCTTAAGAGAGTGGAAGTGACCTGGGAAACATCTATCTTTGATACATTTCCCCCCTTGGGTATTGATCGGAACTAAAATTAGCAAGAGCCTCAGAGTCATGCCATTGGTGACTGAGCTGAACATTGTGAACACAGAGATACCAGTACTATCATTGGCTGAGAGGCAGCCTATCTGGGAACAATCTTCTCAGCAAGGACAACCACTTTGAGATGGTGATTGCACTGCAATATACACTGCTTGTTTTAAGGTATATTACAGTCCTCAGAGCCTCAGTGTAACAAATGTCTCCTGAACTAATGAGGGAATTAAGGCGTTGGCCATATCCTAAGGGAGTGAATTTCTTCGAATATGAAGCATATTTTGTAAATTGTAGGATGCAAGTTTACATAATCTTACATACATTTGCCTAAATCCAGGCACAAGCCATTAGAAGCAGGTGCCTTCCCACCTTATGTTGATACTAGAACAAAATTTACTGGTGCTAAATAAAATAATACTATTTGCAATAGTGTTCCTATTTTACATTGGCAAATCCTTAGAAGGTGAGGAACAAGTCTTTTCATGACAACAAATACAAGGAGGTGGGGAAATATAGTGTTTCTCCTGACACTTTTCCAACAGCAGTGTAGAGGTTACTATGATTTCAGTGAGGCTCTGCATGGACATAGAGGTTTGCCTGTGCATACCTGCTGGCAGAAGCAGCTTTAATGATCACTTAACCTCAGAAATTTCAACGTCATGCCTTTAAAATATTCCCCCCACACACAGAGCTACATAGTGATACTGTTTAGAAGAAGCAGTAACAGCAGATAAAGTATCATGGAATAAACAGAGTCCAAATAATTTTTTTTTTCTGCTGAAGAGTTTGTCTTCTCATCTCAAGGGGAAAAAAATCTTTTTTTAAATGGAAGAAAAAAGTTATATTTTCACTTATGTTAACAAATACTCTATCCTCACTCATACCCTTTTTCCTCTATGCCTGCCTTAGACCGAGTTCCTTGGAGTAGAGATTGTGACTTCCTTTCTGTTTGCGTGGTGCCCAGGGAAATAGAAGATGAGAGAAGAAGCAACTCTAGGCCCAATCCAAAGCCCACTGAAATCAAAGACAAAGTGATACTTCCACACTTTGATTGGCTTTGGATTAGGCCCTCTGCCTTCAGATGAAAATTTCTTGGTCTCAGCTCACAACAACCATCACTAGGGAAAGCAACAGATTACAGGCAGAAAGATCGCAAAAGCCATAATCTACTTGGCAGAACTGTAGACTGTAAATCTATGGCTGGTGTGGTTGGTTGCTTTCTGAAAGCATTTCAGGCTTTTCACATTATACCCTTATCAGAGAAGCAGTGACTGAATCTCAGCTGCTTGCACTGATGAGGACTGAAAGATCATCTGGGGCAGGGGGAGGGGGTCCCTCTCTCTGCTGAGATCAGTAGTAAAAAGATTTTCAGAGAATAACCTTGGAGTTTGTCTCTTGAAACCATGGCAACTAGCATTTCTTCCTGTAAAATAATTTCTTGTCTCACAGTCAGCCATTACATGTCTCCTTCAAACTCTGAAGTTGATTCTCTTTAACAAAAAGCAAAATCTGCTATAGAAAGTAAATCTTCCATTGGTTATTCTTAATGCTAAAGCCTGAATTAATCAATTGAACAACATTACTTGCTAACAACTAAATAATAAGCCACAGACCAGCCTTTGCACTATGGTCCCTCTTTTTTCCTAGATTACCATGATTAAGCCTGAAATAAATGCAGACATTCTTGGTGAATGACTGTTTGTCTTTTTAATTAGAATCTGACTGTGGATGGGAAACAGCATTCAAAAGTTACACTGGATGCTTTTGTTGTCTAGTTTGAGAATCATGAACACTTATTTCCCTTTTCTTGAAGGCATATGAAGGGGACAAAGGTTATCTGTTCTTCAGTTAGTCAACCAGTGTAATTCGCAATAGCTTCCCAAACTAATGGCCATATTGTGCCCTCAACCTATGTGAATAACTCCCATCAGCATCAACATAGCAGTTGTGCACGGAAAGAAGTACCTTGTATGGCCCTAAAAGTTTAAAATTTAGTCTGTAGCAAAGAATTGATAAAGACTGGTATAGTCTAAGCAAGGGACCTGATCTTCTTCTGTGCTGTGTAAGTGAGGTTTTTTACCCACGAAAGCTTATGCCCAAATAAATGTTAGTCTTTTTGTTTTTATAGCACAGAAGGCCAATCTCCTTTCTTGTTCCGGTGTACTGCTCCTTTAAATGTAAGGAGTCTCCATGCCTGCTGCAGAGCAACCTTTGAGGCATCTGCCATTTTGTGTTTCATGTCACATGCAGAAAGTTACAAAGGAAATCACTGTGCTCTCTCATGAAGGTTTAATGTTTTTTATTTCCTTAATCTGAAATAAAAAGTTGTCTAGAGTGAAAAATTACATATTTTGCACTGTTAGGTAAAGACCCTTCCCCCCAGCCGCAGTTTCAAACACCTCACATGCACCCAATCACAGTTTCAAACGTGCCACCCTGGCCCTTTTGACTCTCATCTAAAACGTGTCTCCTAGCCAGAGCAGCCTATCTTTAATCCCACTCCTCCATGCCATATGACTCTGTCCCTCACCTACCTCCCCACCCAGTTCACTCTTTGGTTGGTCTGCCCATTTAACACATCCTAGTGGATGTTAGCTGAGTGGCCCTGGTCATCATCTTTCAATCTTCCATCTCCTCCTCCCCTGTATGAAGGCTTAACAAGTTCTGTTTTGAGTCTTTCTCCACAACATTTTGAAAATCCAACCCTTTCCCCAACTGCTAAGATATCTGTCCATGGTGATCTACCAGTTTGGTTACTGCAGCCTCCTCCTCTTTGGCCTTCCCAATATTCCCCTTCTCACTTCCCTATAATCCAGCCAAAGCTCAGGTGCTAAAAACTATCTTCCTCACCCAGCTACCAGATGACACCACTTTTCCTTCACTCGTTTCCTTTGCCAACCATCTCTTCTTTCAAAATGGTAGGGCCTTGAAGGTAATCTCATTTCTTATTGTGTCCTCCTTTGCCCCTCAAGTCAGTTTGCCAGCACTGTCACCCTTTTCATTTCCTTTTTTCTTCTGCTGTCTTTTTATGCTGCCTTCCAAGCATAGTCTGACATGTCATTTCCAACACACCAGAACCCCACCTGTTATCATCCAAATCCCTTATGAAGAATCTCTCTAGCCAAAAAGCCCATAAACACTCAGGTCAGTCAAATATCTTTTCCTCCCCAATGTTACCTAGCGGAAGAGTGAGTGAGTGTGTGTGTGCGCGTGCGCAGGAGCTGAGGGGGTTGGGAGCGAAATACACTAGCTTAACAACTTTTTCCGGGTCTCCCCAGTACATGTTGCCTTATCGGTGTCTATCTTTTAGATTGCAAGCTCCTTGGGACAGGAGTTTTATACATTTTTTTCCCCTCATGCCCCACTAAGCACATCTCTGGCATTTAGTAGTCTGTTAATCTCCTGTTCCAATGGCCATCATAGGAGCTAGGCACACAGATGGGACAGTGTTACTCAGAATTTGACATTCCTGCATGTTACCCCAGAATTTAACTGTACAGCAGTCAGCAATTTTGTATGGTTTTCAGCTGGCTGTGGCTGAACAAACAGCGCATAGATAGGAAAAAAAAAAAATCTTAGGCCCTGAGAGGCAAGGCCAAATAACAAAACTGCAAGCATGCAGTTATGTTATCAGAATGGGAGGACGGGATAAGAAGTGAGTGTACTGTGAGAATAGAAAGAATGTTTGGATGGCTGACCTTGGTCTTGAGTGCTTCTGACATGCAAGATATTATTGTTATGACTATTCATTATCTCTTATCATTAAAACATTTCTAGTTTTGCTGAAAGTAGAGGAATTGGTGACCTATTAGGTGTTACTATGGTGACCCACTAGGAGTCACTATAGGTTATGTGCTTTGTTTGAAGTTAACTATAAAAGATTAGGTGAAAGAATTTGCTTTGGACCAGTCCAAGGAAGCTTTCTTGGGGCAATGATCTGACAGCTGAGTTCCCCAGCGGCTAGATGAAAGGTGAGTCTCTCCTGCCCCCCCACCCCAAAGACCAGCTGCTGAGCCCTTGGAACCATTTCAGACTTTTTGGGTAGCTAAAAATGTTTTGAAATGCTTTAGCCCTACTGTGACAACGTGTGTGCACCTAAAATCTAATCAGAAAGTAGTTTTAGATGAAAGCATTCTTGCTTGTACCAATTATTTATCAGACAAATGAGCTGTGCCCCCATTGATTTATTCTTGGCAACGCCTGGAGAGAAACAGGAACGTTGCTACTGCTTTGGGTTCTGAAAACCCTGGGTAACAACAGATGGGAGGTAAAGGTAGTGTCAGGAGCTACCTGACACCTTCTTCACTTCCTGATAGTAGTGGGAGTACTTCTGAAGACTGGATAAGCGTTTGGACACTTGCTCCACCTAGCATTGCCTGCTTGCCTCATTTCTTCACTTCTACCCCTTTCCTCTGCAGGCCAATCAAAGATAAGGGGAAGGGACATTCCTCAGAGACAGTCTTCTTGCTGCAGCAGAAAAGCTTCTGCAGAACCTCCATACATACCTGAGCACCACTGAAGCTGCTGACAGTACTGAGATAAAATATATGGTCAGGAGTGCAAGCACGTTGCAAGATCCTTATGGCTAATTTAATTTGCTTTCTTTTATCAGAGAGAAACCTCTCCACAACAGACGTAAGTATGATTCACAGTATTATTAGTGACAATTAAATGCAATACTTAAAGAGACAAAATAAACTTAAATTTTATTGCAAGTCTACCCTCCTGGTGGTTTGGCACTAGTGCTGACTTGTCCTTTCTGTATTAAATCATCATTACAAGGCCCGCAGCTAAACAACAATAGTTATTCTCTCAGCACTGGGGCTCCTTATCAAACTACCAGTGTCTTCAGAGAGAAATGCTATAAATATTCAGTTCTTCCTTCAGGAGGGGAGAAGGGACTAAGACGTTAACGAAAAGAAAGAGGTTTGTAATTATTTTCAGGGACACTCGTGTGCTACTACATAATCTAGCCCTGCTTTGAATAGCTACATATAAACTATTAGATCACCAAGTGACAGTTAAGGCAATGCTGCCAAAGTCACAGCAGCAGGGGGCCCACCAGCGCTCCTGTGATGTTTGCTGCTTGTGGTCATGTGCTGCATTGTGTGGAGAACGTACTGCCTTGTATAGACAGAGCTGTCTGGTGACAATTTTTGCTCTCCAGGGAACTGACTTGCCTCAGCATGTATGGTGTCCTTGGCTGGGGCACACCACAGATTCATCCCTCCTCTTTAAACTGGGAGCCTCTCATTCACACCCTTCTGAACCCACCCTCTTTCCCCAGGCTCACATGGCAGGAGGAGAGTCACATGCTGAATCTTAATTCTTTCCATCAGGGTGGCCTCAACTGAATGGCTTTGCAGAGGGCCACAGATTGTTTCTGAGGGCTATTTCTAGCCAACTACACTATGGTCAATACAGTGACATCAGTGTAAAACCAGCATCGCCAAGAGGAGAATCAGATCCGCTGCCTGGACTGTTTGCCCTAGTCACTTTCAAGGAGGGGATGACTGTTAGCTTATGAATGATACAAAGAGAATCACAAAACAGTGAAATCTTCAGTAGGACAGATCAGGCAAACACATTTTACCTGGAATGATCACAAACTAAATATCCCCAACATTTTGAGGGTCACCGGAAATGGACTCCAGCAGCACAATACTTGAAAATGAAACAGAGCTAGAAAAGAATTTAGAATAGTAGCATGTACAGATGGATGGGTAAAAAACCAAAATAAGAAGAGAGTCAAAAAATACAACATGCAGATATGAAATGAAAAATGGATGTTACAGTGTTATCATGGACAGGGTAGAATAATAAAATAAAGATAAACATACGGAGATGAATAGAATACGTTAGGGGCGGGAATGAAGCCAATATGTTCTTTCCCTTGATTTCTACTAATTACCAAAGAAGAACAATATGGTATAGTATGATTGGTAGGATTATTATGAGAGGTGACAAGAATAGATAAGAAATGGATATAATAGACTAGGGAGTGTGCAGGGGGAGGGGGAAGAGATGAAAATAAATAGATTTAAACTCAAGAAACCAGACTTTACAACAAAAGGAATTATAGTGAATATCATAATAGAGACAGGAAAATATGCTATATTGGGTGGGGGAGGGGGTTAATCAATGTTTTAAAGCACTTTGAAATTATGGGGTGATACAAATATTAAATACAATATATGGGAGGAAGAGAATAAGGTAGGTTTTGAGGAGGAGATGGTAAGATAAACACAAAAGAGAAGAACTTAGGACAAGAGGAGAGATGGATGAACAATAAAGCTATGGAGAGAGTTGACTTTAGTTTTCACATTATTTACTATCCACTTTTGACCAGCGAATCTTTAAGATGTACAGCGCCTAAAATAATCAGGTCAGTTATCTCTGGACACAGATCAGGCTCTGCTGCACCATGTAGTATGTTTCACATGGAGGCGATGAGACTGCATGGCCACTACACCATCACTGACAGAATTCAGGACAGACTGGGTTGAAATAAACTTTCACCTAGAGTGATGCGGCGCACCCTCAGATGCCACTGAAATTAATGGAAGATGAAAGCACTCAGCATCACCTTGCAGAATCTGATTCCAAGAATCCTCCTCTTATTCATAGGAGTTGAGAATTACTGCAGAATTCCATTGACTTCAGTGGCCAGCATGAGTTAAGTGTGGTACAATGAGCACTTAAGCCCAAACAAACATATACTCAAGTCCCTGTTCAACAAAGCACTTAAGCATGTTTTCCTTGCAACACAAGTTTAAGTTCCATTGACTTAAAGTTCATATGTCAGTGTTTCTCCGAATAGGGATGGATTGCTGAACCTAGTAATTCCTACCCCTTCCACAAAGCCAAAATATCTTTGTGGGTTCTTAAAAGAAAATCCTCCAGATTATGTGTCATACTAAAGAGTTTTCTATATATGGAGAAATAGATTCTTTGTGCCTCAATCTGCTCTGATTTAGACTTGTGTCAACAAAGAGCAACTCCGCTACAGACAGTGGAGTTATACCAGTGTAAGTAAGAAGCAAATCGGGCCCTTTCACCTACCATCTGGAGGATTTGCCCAAATGCATGAATCAAAGGCAAACTGTCAGCCTCACAGATTCATTTTTTCATCCTGAAAGCTAATTCAAACCTAGAAGAAGGAAGCAGGTTGAGTTTATATTGGCAGCAATTTAAAAAAAAAAAATGCTGCTACTAGGTTTTAAAATCACTTCACAAAACGGCTGACATCCTGTTAGTGCTATCAGACTACAAAGCAGCCAGCTACAACCTCTAGCTGCAGTGTCATCAGATGGCACAACATGGTTCTACTGAGGAGCAATACTATATATCCAGAGACATCACAGAAACTGTTACTGAAAATAGAAAAGAAAAATGAATTGATTTTCATTTTTCCCCATGCGAGATCTACAGGGTTGCCATGGTGTCACTGAGACTCAAGAGGGTTCCCCTGAACTCATGGTACAGGACCTGCAGTAATTGGGGTATGTGTGTTTTTTTCAATGGACTTCATCCTTCTACTATATCAAGGGTGCATTTAAGCTCTGCATCATCTTCTCAGAAGCCACATCATTTATTTTTTCTTTGAATTTAAAGTGAAAGGCTAGGAGACTTGCTAGATAGCAGCAGCACAAAGCAACAGCATGAGTGGAATTTAGATGATGTTTGACACAAAATCATTTCTGTGGACATTCACAGATTTTATCATCGCTATATAGAAAGTCCTCTTGTCTTGGATGCAAATTACTCTGAACAAGCTCTATAACATTTATTTAATACAGTGGTCATGGTTAACATTTTCCAGTTTCACCTTAGATTGTGGTACCTCAGCATTTGCAGTATTTAGCTATATTTTATATCTGATCTATTTCAAACATTTCTTAAAGTGCCTAGAGCCAAGGATAGGTGCTTAAATTATAAAATGAAACAAACAAACAAAAAATAGTATAGGAAATACCTGAGTAATTGCAGTATTTCTGAATTCACATTATTTAGTTACTTAAGACAATTGTCAAGTTTTTATGCTCAGCCTCTGTACATCTGCTTATTTAGAGGAGGGGAACAATATCATACTTTATTATTCACATTCACCCTCTCCCTCAGTTTATATTAAATATAGAAATACTAGTTATTTAAACATCTTCACTTGTGATCTCAAAGAACTTTACAAAGATTAATAAATTATGCCTCTCAACCACCCTGCTTACTAGGTGAAATTTACCTAGTCTGTGAGGTGTGGTAAGGATGTTTTGAGATCACAAACTGCAGCCACATCATGGGTGTACTGTAACAGCTATTTAACAATGCAAAGCAAAACTACATGACAGTTTAGGACAATAATTGAAGGAGAATGTTGTATCTAACTAAAATCAAAGGGGAATTTTGAAAGGTAAAAATGTAATTACCTGAGATGAGAACTTGCCACTACACTGGCACCTCCAACCCCAGTACTGATTCAGAGGACATTTGTCACCTATAGAATCATGAGCATTACTTCCTGCAGCAAATGGGTGTTCACTGGAGGTCTCAAAATACTGTTTAAAGATTTGCTTTACTCACTCTGGGACCAACTAGTACCAAAAAGTCTTTCTTGTCCATGAAGCTAGTGACAGATTAAATACCCATTGTTTTATATACCATCCGTGCTACAAATAAATATTACTCTATATAATACTTCATACACCACAGCATTTTTGTTTTAGACCTTAAAAATCATACACAATTGAAGACTAGTCTTCAAAGTTGAATTTCAATGTGATTTTTGAGGCTGTTATTGCAACACCTGATACAAGTGATACATTGCGCGGAAGCAAAATTTGGATCTGCATCCATTCGCAATCTGCAAACATGGTCTGTGGATGTCTGCAGATTTGCAGGGCTCGACATGTAAGATGCATATATTACATAGCATCTCTACCAGTAACAGCTGGGCTAATGTGGTCTACTAAAATGTCAGAACTGAAGTAGAATAAACCAAGATGCTAAGCAGAAAGAACTAGTTTTTAAAATCATGACTATTCTCTAAATTATAGAAATTTCTTCAATTTGGTTGTTACATCTCAATAGTTCCATCAAAACAAAACAAACAAAAACAACCCCACAACCAACACAAACAATAGCGCAAGGAATGAAGACAATATCAGAGAAACAAAATCTCCCCTTACTTTCTTTGGGCCATTACAGATAGCGTCAAGCCCTGACAAGGAAACCGCTTAAGGATTCAATACCTTGCAGGATTGGGGCCTTTATGGGCTCAGTCCCATAGCAGTTCTGTACTGGTGGATCCCTGCACCTATGTAGAGCCCCATCAACTTCTACAGAGTCTGTGAGAGTGCAGGGATTCATCTGCCTGGGGCAATTTGCAGGATTGAGGCCCAAAATAACAGAATGGGACTTAAGCAGCCTTTCAAATTTTGATGGGAGAGGGAACCACAGCAAAGACCCAAATATTGGTTATTTAACTTTTAAAAATGCTCAGTATTTCTACATTGTTTAAATAAAAATACTGGAAGTGATTTTGGTCACCCGCTCTTGGTGATTTGGAAACCCTTTGGTGGGAGCAGAACAAGTATTTGCAGCAGGAGTACACTTATCAAACCTGTGATCAGAAAGAACAA